CTTAAAAAAAAAAGGAATCAAAATTACAAAAAGAGAGATATATAAAGAGATATTATAAAAGAAATAAAATAATAAAATTCTACTTATTATTATAAGTAGAATTTTTTATTTCTCGAAAAAAAAAAAAATTAAAGTATCAGTATGATATACGTATAGAAGAAACTGATTCTTATTCTTTGTATCTTCGTGTGTCTTATAATTTATAAGATTTTTATTGCTTCTTTCCTTTATAGTTCTATCCTTTGGCTCATGAACGTCGACATGTTTTACAAATTTCCACATTTCTATCTTATATTTTACGGAGAAGTTTTATAAATAAAATTCGATGGCATAAAGTTACATTCTGGATATTATGCAGACTCAAAGGTAAAATAAAAGAAAGTAAAATATAAAAAGAAGAAAAGGAAATATTTTTGTACATTTCTTGGTATTATTTGAATTTTATTGAATTAAGAAATAAATTGAAAAAATATTTAATTATTTTTGAATATGATACAAAATATAAAATATCAATAGAAAATAAGGAGACAAATTTTTGTAAATTTTTTACATTAGATTTTATAAATTTTCAGATTAATAAATTTTGTATTGAAAAGTACTTAAACACTTTGATATTCAAATAGCATTTTCATATTCATGATTATTTTTTCTTACATTATAACTTTTATATAATTAATGACATATTTATATAATACATGATTAATTGTTCACACTATAGAAGCAAACTACATGAATTTGTAAATCTTTAGTAAAATATTTTTTTTAATGTATATTTTATCAGTTTTTTAAATTTGTTATTTTTATTTTTATTATAATATCTTTAGTAAAGAAATGATTTAATATATTTGAAAGGAATAATTTATTAGTTAAATTTTTAATTAAAATTTATAAATAGAAATAGTGCTGAGAAATATTGATAAATTGATAATCGAAATAATCAATTCTCCTTTTTTAGAAAACAATTTTTTAAAATATAATTAAAATAAAAATTGCTAGAAACATAAAAATATTTAAAAGAAAATTTAAGGATTCTCTGTTTTATTTGAATGATATTTTAATGTAGAAATTTTAATTATTATAAAAAGAAAAAGTATTTTGAACATTAAAATTGAATATTAATCAATTGCCAATCAAATTCTGATTTAAAATACTATGGAATTAAATTTTACTGCTTGAAATTTGTATAAAATTCAGTTTTATTTAAATTTTCATTTAAATCACTAAAAATTTAATTATCGAATTATTTGTATATGAAATTGTATAGAAATTTATATAAAAATGTATATAAAATTAAATGTATAAAAATTTTTATTTAAATTTATATTGTAACATTAAAATTTAAATTAAATTTAGAAAAATTTCATAATATAATTTCAAAGAATTAAAAAAAATAATAATAAATATCTTTTTAAAATTTCAAATAATAGATCCATCTAACTTTATTTTAAATAAGTTTACTTATCTTCACTTATTTCCCAAAGTATTCAATTTACTACTCCATTTACCACTAATTCACAATCAACGAAAAAAAGAAATTTCTTTCGTTGATAAACTCCATTTCCCAAGTCATGGCCGATAAAAGGCCATTTTTCTAAGTCCTTTAATGACGGGGAAAGGTTACCAAAGACGGAAATGAAAATCTCCAGTACCTACTCGACGCTTAACCAGTCGACTAGGTGAGTTATGTGACTATAGAGTTCGATACGTGTTCCCTCTGTTGATACACTTACATCTACATGTATCTACGTGTATCAAGATTTGTATCAGGGATCGAGATGTCTGAAAGCTTTCGAACTTCTGGTAACTGAAGAGAATGCCTCGAAGGTTTAACGTGGATTGGAAGACCTGTTTCCGGAATCGATCTTAGCCGATGGTTAATTATTCGTTAATTATTCGTAAGTCTGGTCATTTTTTTTTATTTTCTTACTTTTTTAGACATTTTATTTTAGTATTTCTATTTTTATATTTTTTATTTTAACGAAATTTATACAAAATATTGTAAAAATTTTTGTAATTTTATATCAAATAAAATTTTCGAATTGTTATTCGATTTCTAATTTCAATAATTTTTTTGATAATAGAATTTTAAGTTTGGAATACATATCGGAAGTAATATGACAAATAATGATGATGTAATTTGATTTGAAAATTTTTTAAAGATAACAAATTTTTAATTTTATGTTAAAAAAAATATTTAAATAGTTAAATAGATTAACATAAGAATGAAAAAAATTATTTTATGTTGTGTCTTATATAGATACGTATCTATATATAATGTACGTATGATTATGATTTTCATTTGATTTTGAATACTAAATAACTTCGATGAAAATAATATTTCTTATTATTTCTTTAATTATTAGTATTTACTTTTTCTTTTTTGCTATACTTTTTTTTATATTATATTTAATTTAATTATATTTATTTTCAGATTTATAATATGTATAAAATATCATAATTAATCAGAAATTGTTTTTTTTTTCAAGTTAGAGATATTAATTAAATAAATAATATTTCTTTGTAGATAAACGATAAACATATCTTTCTTTTTATTATTTATTAATATTTTTTCTATTGTATTTTTATTTTTATAATATGTATGAAATATTTTAAAAATGATGTTACGCTTGTAATGTTACTCTTTCTGACTTTCCAGTTATCAATGTTTTAAAGAAATATATAATTTCTGTTGTATTTTATAAAATAAATTTATATTTATTAGAGATATAAATTCAAATAGTTTTGAAAATTAATTTTGTAAATAGTTTATATAAAATCATATTTTAAACATATGTTTTTTTTTGTAAATAATATGAGAGGCTAATAATTAATAATTAATCAACGAGTTATTTTATACAAAATGTTATAGAAGAATGACTTTTCTTTTGCCATTATTTTTCTTTTTCAAAATTATGTCAATTATTATTTATTGCTGTTGTGAATTATTTACTTTTATTATAAAATATTTCAACAATTTAATATTATTATAAAATCTTATTATCAAAATTAATCATTCAAAAAATATGAAAATTAAAGGCTGAATAAATTGATTCCTTTTTTCTTCCGATTTAACAATATTTTTTGGAGGATGCTTAAAAGAGTCTAAATGAATAATTAATCTATAATTGAACAATTCAACAAATGAAAGATAATATTTATCAAAAAATTCAATAAATAAAAAATATTATAAGCAAAAGCAAAATGTTATAAGCTTTGGAAAAGATAGAGATAGCATTTGTGTGATATTTTGCTATATTTTATTACATTTTAATTAGAAAAATTGAATAAATAATTATAATAATAAATTATATTTACGTTTATTCTATTTTATAAAAAAAGCAACTATGAGTCTTTGTATATGAAAATAATTGAAAATTTTCCATATATTGAAAAAATTTTGTATCTATCCTTTTTTTTTATATTATTTATTTATTATTTTTTATTAAATTTTAGAAATTGATTATCTTAAAAAAGTGTTATTGAATTTTAAAAGCAATATCTTTATTTTTTATTCAATAAAATAATAATATTATTTTCATTTTTATACAGATATACAGAGTATTTTACAAGTTTAATAAAAATTTTACTGCATATTTTACAATTAAAAATAGTATGAAAATGTTTTAGCGCTTAAGAGCTTCATTAAAATAAATAATCATAAGAAAAATATAAGGACAGAAAAAAATAATGGTCTTAGTTTTAAATAAGACTTAAGTAAAGAAAAAAAAAATAATAATAATGCTAAGTGAAATCTAGAAGTATGAATAAGAAATAATATTTAAAAAAATTTTTTTACATTTTTTTAAAATTTTTTAAAATGTAGAACATCTTAAAATTTTATTTTTTAAATAAATTTAATGAAATCTTAATATCAAGATAATGTACAAAAATAGAGAAATAAACAAAAATTTTATTTTTGACACGAATCTATTTAATTTCTAATCAATATTCCAAGAAAATCCGAAGTGAAAAGAATTTTTCAACATAATTTTTCCACAGGTAGCTTCGTTATTTTATTTTTACACATAACATATTCTCTGAAAAACTAAATAAAAGATCGATTTAGATGTGAAAGGGTATTATTCCGGCCGTTCACTTCAAAGAAGCGTTTAAAATGTTC